AATATCAATAACACAATTATTACCAAATATGTTTATTCATTTAAAAGATTGATTTGTGGTATTGGGTTCCCCACTGAGTGCAGCTGAGCGGCACTAATGAGGGTTGAAGTGAACAATAGACGGCTTATCAGACCCAACCCTCCCCAGTGGTCTGGAGAAAGCTTGTAAAAAAACTATTGTTGTACACGCGCGACTTGTTGACCTTGGGCTGCTTCAACTTTAATTTTTTCAAATGAACTGTGATGTTTCAAAATCAAAAACAATAACTTGGGACCATACTGCATAACAATAATGGACTGCAATAATTGTTGAATTTAAAATCCATTTATAACAAACTTATAACTTTTAAAACTTATCTTGGTATTTTACTTGTGGTAATGAAGTTATGTAGGCTAGTGTAATTCTTGGTTCATCAAGGTTCTACTGAATTATGTTTGGCAGTGAATAAGTGTAGAATGAAATTTATAAATTCAGGGATACACACCTTTTACAGAGTTATAAAGCCTAATTGCTCTAATTAACTTGCCACAACATCAAATCTAGAGCCCAGTTTAGTGTATTAGTGATGTTTTCTAAACTTGGCAAACCCCAAGAATGCCACTTAAGGCCAATAATCTGTTCCAAAAACGTAAGGAAATACAATGTGAAAATAAAATTGAGATAGAAATCCTTGTCTTGTGAGAACCAGGAAACAACATAAAACATAACCTCAAGTAAACAAACCCAAACGTTTTGACATCAGTCCTGCTAAGTGTTGTGTGAAGATTTCGGCTGCTAGTGTACTTAATTCAAGCAACCAACTTTTGAAAATAGATGTTGTGAATTGTGATTTTCAAGAGAGAAAAACTGTGGACGTGGCTAATTTGAAATTTTATGATTCAAAATCACCATTTATGTTTATTTACACAGCTTTACAGTGTTTTATATGTTAAAAATGCATATGCAGCTTATTATTAACCGCGCCGAACTATCCGAATCCGAAAATATCCGAATCCAAACCTCCCAATATCCGATCCGATCCGAACCGATCCTCAACTATCCGATCCGAAATGAAATTTCACTATCCGCACACCTCTAGTTTATACACCATCAATTTCGTAATCGGTCCAATCGGGTCCGCCCCAGTGGCTCTGGAGTTTCCCATGTTAACCTTATGAGAAATGGAATTAATGAATCTTAACAGCTGTTTCAATTAAACAAGTTGGTTCTGTTCTATGATGTTCAATAGCATTAAAGTTACAAGGATTACCAACAGGGTGCAGCACTATTATTTCTTTTACATTTATGACAACAGCTAATTTGCAACCAAAAGGTGAGTGAGCGTAGCGAACAAACTTCAACCTGGAGGCGAGTTAGCGTAGCGAACGAGCTAACCTGAAGGCAAGTGAGCGCAGCGAACGAGCTCCAACCTAAAGGTGAGTGAGCGTAGCGAACGAGCTCCAACCTAAAGGTGAGTGAGCGTGGCGAACGAACTTCAACCAGGACGTGATTGGGCCATGCGAACGAGATCATCTTGAAAAACAAGAAGTTAAACGGGGCAAAGCCCGCGGGATTATAAATAGTCAAAGGCAAGACAACGTCTGCCGGGTTCAGCTAGTATATATATATATATTTGTTTGGCAGTGATAAACTCAGACACCGCTGAACCGATTGCCACGAAACTTGGTACATACGTGTAGAATTTCATGGAATAGGTTTATACACACCATCAATTTCGTGATCCGTCCTATCGGCTCCGCCCCAGTGGCTCTGGAGTTTCCCATGTTAACCTTATGAGAAATGGAATTAATGAATCTTAACAGCTGTTTCAATTAAACAAGTTGGTTCTGTTCTATGATGTTCAATAGCATTGAAGTTACTAGGATTACCAACAGGGTGCAGCACTATTATTTCTTTTACATTTATGACAACAGCTAATTTGCAACCAAAAGGTGAGTGAGCATAGCGAACGAACTTCAACCTGGAGGCGAGTTAGCGTAGTGAACGAGCTAACCTGAAGGCAAGTGAGCGTAGCGAACGAGCTAACCTGAAGGCAAGTGAGCGCAGCGAACGAGCTCCAACCTAAAGGTGAGTGAGCGTAGCGAACAAACTTCAACCAGGCCCGTTTTTGACCCTGTTAGCGCCCTAGGCACAACTAATAGTAGCGCCCCTTTGCAAAGGGTGTCCACCGACCGGAAATCATGCGGGAATTTTATGAACCGGGAATTATGTGTGAATTTTGTATTTATACCTGGAGTTTTCAAATTACCGTGATCGCGCATGACAACAGTTTCCGTGATCGCGGGAGACGATAATATGTCTACACTCGGCCGCGAGATATTCAGAATATTGCCACGATCACGGAAGACGATGATAATGTCCACACGACCGCGCGAAACAGCAAGAATTTTACCGCGATCGCGGAAGACGATGATGATCTCCACACAACTGCGGAACATGATTAACATTTTGCTGCAATCGCGGGAGATGATTACCATGTATACACAACCGCGGGAGACGGTTACGATGTCTACAGGACCGCGGGAGATACAATAATGATTTACACGGCCGCGAGGGACGATCGGAATTATGCCACGATTGCGCAAGACAATGATAATGTCCACATGACCGCGGGAAAAAATCAGAATTTTGCCTCATTCACGGAAGACGATGATCTCCATATGTCCACAGGGGATGATTACAATTTTTCCACAATCGCAGGAGACGATTACGATGTCTACAGGACCGCGGGAGATACAATAATGATTTCTACACGGCCGCTAGGGATGATCAGAATATTGCCGCGATCACGGAAGACGATGATAATGGATGATAATGATCAAGGGAAAAGTTCAGTACTTTGCCTAATTTGCGGAAGAGGATGATGATCTCCACAAGACCGAGGGAGATGATTACCATTTTGTCACAATCGTGGGAGGCGATTAATTTGTTCACACGACTGCGGGGGACGATATAATGATGTCTTCACGTCCGTGAGGGGTGGTCAGAATTTGACCGCGATCTCGCAAGACGAAGATAATGCCCTTACGACCGCGGAAAAGATCAGAATTTTGCCTCATTCACGGTAGACGATGATAATCTCCTCACGACCGCGGTATATGCTCATATATTGCTTCGATAATGGAAGACGATAAATATGTCTAAACGACCTGACCGCTGAAAATAGTAAGAATCTCGCCGCAAACGCGGTAGACGATTACGATGTCTACACGGCCGCGAGGGATTATCAGAAGTTTTCCACAATGGCATGCAAACAACCACCAATTTTTTTTATTCTCAAAATTTTTGGCGCCCCCCAAAAAAGCCAATTGCCTTGCGCCCTAGGCACGTGCCTACCGTGCCTATTCGGTAAATCGGCCCTGACTTCAACCAGGACGTGATTGAGCCATGCGAACGAGATCATCTTGAAAATTAAGAAGTTAAACGGGGCAAAGCCCGCGGGTTACAGCTAGTCTATATATAAAGCCCAAAGTACCCATGAACTTTTTGAGAAAACTACAAGTCACACCCCCATAAACCATATACTTAAAATGTTTGTCATGACGAGAAACCTTGCGCAAAACTATCCATTATTTCATAAATTGCCCTTTAAGGCTGTAATTCCTTTCTAAAGGGAACTTTCCATATACCTAATGTTAAAAATACCTCAGCTGTACTTTTTTGTTTGTATTACTGTATTCTGTTTTGTTTATTTCAGATTAACTTAACCAATCAATAATTTTATTAATATGTATGAAGTCAAACAGGGTGAAGCCCGTGGGTAACAGCTAGTTATAAGTAAACCTTCATCCGATTTTTATCTTTTATATCTTTTTTTATATTATCAGTAAGTTTGGTTGGTTGTGTTAGGTGATGACAGTTTAGATTTATAATAAATAAACGGTATCAGCATTCTGACACATACTTTCTCCCATAAGTTTGTCAACAACCTTTATCATGTGTAAGCGGTGAGAGTAAATATACGGAAATGGGATTTGTACAATTTTGTTCAGAATTTAAAGGACTATAACATACTAAATTTTTATCAAAACTGTTCGAGCCAATTTTGGGAAATCCGATTTTTCCTTATTTTATGGGGTTTTTATGGGGAAATAACATAATTTACAATAACTTTTGAACCGTAATTTTTACAGAAATGGGATTTGTACCATTTTGTTCAGAATTTAAAGGGCTACAACATACTAAATTTTAATCAAAATCGTTCGGGCCATTTTTGAGAAAATCCTATTTTTCCGGTTTTTTATGGGTTTTTATGAGAAAATCCCCATTAAAAATCAAAATTTCAAAAAAATGAAAAAACGCCTGGTGATACCATGGATTAGAACCTACATACCAAATTTCATCGAAACTAGCTCTGTACACATCCAGACACACACACACACACACATCACTTCGAAAACCACTTTTTTGGGTCCAGGGGGACCCAAAACGAATATATCCACTCAAAACTCAAACTCGAAAATTTTGACAAAAACAATACTTTCTCCATATACTATCCCCAAAAGAAAGTAAAAATTATTAAATTAATTTTATAATTGTTCTTAAGTCGACGTGAGGGGCTCTCGCACAATGCCGAATTTCTTCGCAGAAGAGGTTTACATCGGCTTCTGACCAGGCGCCTGAGACCCCAGTTTTGGCACGCGGTGTCACATTTTTGATGTTGACTCTACTCGGACAGTTGAAAACTTGGACACTTGATATTTCGATATTTTTTAAAATAATGTTATAAACTCGCACAAATGAAAACTCGGACAGTTGATTTATTTAAATATTATTAATTATTTATTTATCAAAACTCGGACAAATGAAACTCGGACAACTGATTTTTCTAATATTTTGTAATTTTTAACAAACACGGACAGTTAAAAACTCCGACAAATGAACCTCAAGAATTAGTAAACAACATATAAAATTCTCTTGCTACAAATCATTTTCTTCAGCAACAAAATTTTTAACTTATTCATTATTACAATTTCGGTTGGTATCAAGGTGCATGTCAGTTGCAGGAAGCTGCCGAGAACAGTCATGAGCTGGAGGTGGAAGTGCCACCATTAGAGGCGGAGGTGGGAGAAGCTGAGGAGGAGGAAGAGGGAGATGTGATGGTGAATGGTGATGGAGGCGGAGAGGAGATAGGGGTGGACGGAGGAGGAGGTGGTGGAGAGGAAAGTGGAGAACCTGCCATTGTTGAAATGGACATGGCCGAAGAAAATATCTGCATGGTAGATGAAAATGGTATATTACAAAAGGTAACTTTTACAAGAAATATTGAACTGTTTATTGAGCTTATAGCCCAGCAAATTAAGGTTTTTATCGCAACTAAATGGTGGAAAGCTGGATTTTTTGTGTGTTCTAGAACCACATAACAAATGAATTTTCATAAAAGTCCCTACTTCCAACCCCTTTATTGACCATAAGTCAAATGGTATGTACACTATCGTGTTGCAATTTGTTTTTTATTATTTTTGTTTTTCTCTCCATAGGCTATACTTTTAATTAGAAGTAGGCGAGTAAGTTTAGAGAGAAAATACAAAGATGAAATAAGTCTTAAATTTGTATCTACATTCTAAAAAGATCATAAAATACAAACTACGAGGGCTATCCAGAAAGTTGATTACCTTTTTGTCTGTATCCACTAGGGGCGGGGCTAGCGCGACCATCTTGGTGTTAGTTCGTTATGCAGCTCAGTCGGCATCTAGCCGTGCTAGTAAGAGGTTTCTGCTGTACTCCGTTGAGTTACTGAGACAGTTAAAAATTCCACGAACTGTAATGTGCGTGCAGTTATAAGGTTTTTGACTGCAAAAAACTGTAAACCGATAGAAATCTATCGGCAACTTTGAGAAGTTTATGGGGAAAACATTATTACTGATGGTGGAGTTCGTCAGAGGGTCATCAAATTTAAAAATGGCAGAACTAACGCTCACTTCGAGGAGCGAAGTGGGAGACCCAACATTGTGACTGCCGAACTTGTCGAAAAAGTCGATGCCGATGTCTGTAAGTTCTCAATAACAGAACTCTCTATGGGTTTTCCACAAATTTCACGAAGTTTGTTGCACGAGATCATAACCGAAATGCTTGGTTACCAAACTGTAACCAAAGAGTCCATTCATTTTTTGTTTGCTCGCACTTCGAATTTTTTGGCATTTTCAAATTAACACAGACATTTTAAACTGTCACAGTAACTCAACAGAGTACAGCAGAAACCTCTTACTAGCACAGATAGATGCCGACTGAGCTGCATAACGAACTAACACCAAGATGGTCGCGCTAGCCCCGCCCCTAGTGGATACAGACAAAAATGTAATCTACTTTCTGGATAGCCCTCGTATAAGTTGTGGTTTGCTTCTCTATAAACGTATTTTGATAAAATTTGGGAAATGCTATTTCATACTAAACCACATATTAAAATTTTACCATTAAACCCTCCCTTTTGCAGCAAACCTAAGTACTCGAAAAACTAATGCTATTTAAATAGGGAATTCATTAAATGTAATGCTTTTGAGGAGACATTTTAGTGTAAATCCAATCAGGCAAATTGAAATTCGCTTAGTCTGCAGGTCTACTATGGGGGGGGGGAGGTAATTAAAATGGCTGTCATTTTCCAAAATAGCAGCAGACTTATACAGGGTGTTTCACGGGAACCCTGACAAACTTCAGGAAATGTATCCTGTGGTAAAAACTAGAAGAAAATGTCCTATAAGCATATGTCCTTAACTCACTCGTTCTCTACTTTATTCGTAAAAATGTGTTTTATTAGCTTTTCATTGGGATGGACGGGATTGAATTTTTAGTTCGGGACGGGTTGTTTTCCTTTGCATAAAAAACAAGTATTGAGTATTGCAGTTACCAAAGAAGACAAACAAAATAAATGGTATGACTCGCGGCGTTAACGTCGGTATGACTCGTGGTCACGGCGGAATCGTTGGTATGACTCGCGATCATGGCGAAATCGTCGGTGACTCGGTCTCGGCGCGATTGTCTGTATGACTCCGCGTTCACAATGCGATCGTTGATATGACTCCGCGCACGGTCACGGTGCGATTGTCGAAATGACTTCGGTTCCTGCGTTCGTGGAATTACCGTGAACATCTCTCGCAATAGCGGCGTCATCGTCTCTCGCGAAGCGGCAAAATAACCGATGATCGGATCAAATACCGTCCCAAAAAATTCCCAAATCAAATGTAATCTCGTCTCGAAAATCGGGAATATTTTTTCCCAGAAATTTTGGGACCCGTCCATCCCTTCTTTTCAGTGTACCTATCTGTTGTACATTTTTACCTCTAGATAGAAAAATTGACAAGATATTTTGACAAAACTTGCATTGATAGATAAATATTACATTTCAAAGAGATAACGTTAATATTTCGGGCAAACTTGTTGGGTATGACTGATAAAAATAAGTATAAAAAAAAAAAATAAAAAAAAAATCTAGATTTAAAATTATTTTTTGTTTTTGTCAGCTCCTCATAAAGTAACCATTCAAGCTTTTGGCTTGCAAATTTACCAAAAGTTGGTAGATTTTGACAGAGAACAAGGAAATATGAATTTACGTATACTGTAATTTTTATGGGGATTATTTTTGTCAAAATCTAAAATCTTGCAAAATGTTAAAAATTAATTAAACTAAGCAAAATAAAGAAAAATGTAAATTTAGCTTATTTTGAAACACATCTTAATAAAAGATGGCATATGGGTGCTCCTAGTTGAGAAGTATTGCATAATGCCCTAAAATTTCCTTCTTTTTTAATTTTTAATAATTATAGAAAACAAGCTTACCCACTTTCCTATGTTAATCTTAAGGGGGTCAGTTGTTGATGACCAAAATGCTATTATTTCGTTAACTTTATGTTCATTTCAGTAGGTTATGTGGGTATTTTAACCTACATAAGTGATACACTGCCAATAACAGCTAACCGAATGGAACCCAAGCTAACCTGAAATATCCTAACATAACCAAACTTCTATTACGTTGGCAAGTTCCTTTGATGTCTTAAAAACCATGTAGATGGTTTCGTTTGGTTTCGTTTTTTATGCATATTCGTGACCGCATTAAATCCTTTGAAAGTAGGTTGGAATAGGTATAACCAATCTTCAAAATCCAAACTAACTTCGAAACCCTTAATATAACCCGGATTCGCATATCAATCGATCTATTTTACTCACATGCCTAAATATAGCAAACTAAAACGGGAATCTCGGGATGAAATCCGCATTTCCCCCTAAATTGCCTAGGATCGCCTAATTTAGCTAAAGAATGCAGAATGCTGTAAACATTGCTTGAGTACCCCGGCCTATCTTATGTTTATAAATACCAAATCTATCTATTACTTATTTAATACGCAAGCAGGTTTTTTGGGACAATTACTCCCCCGAAACTACTGAACCGATTGACATGTTTTTGGTGTCGTTGGAAAGAGCGTAATGTAAAGTTGTAAAGGAAACTTTCTTTTTAGGGAAATAATTAAAGAGTGAGGCCCTGGGGCCCTTTAAAGTTTCATATTTCTCCATAAGATTAACATGGGAAACAAAAATTATTATAAAACTCCAGCTGTTGTCAGAAATTAGTCAAAGGATGGCCAGTTCTATGTGGTGGAGATATTGACAGAGTCAAGCTGATGTTGTCTGTTACTAACTGGTTTGTCGTGTCAGGTTCAGCAGTCAGAGGATGGCCAGTTCTATGTGGTGGAGATATTGACGGAGTCAAGCTGATGTTGTCTGTTACTAACTGGTTTGTCGTGTCAGGTTCAGCAGTCAGAGGATGGCCAGTTCTATGTGGTGGAGATATTGACAGAGTCAAGCTGATGTTGTCTGTTACTAACTGGTTTGTCGTGTTAGGTTCAGCAGTCAGAGGATGGCCAGTTCTATGTGGTGGAGGGAGATATTGATGGAGCTAAGCAGATGCTATCTGTAGCAGAAGATGGCTCTGTGCAGATGGTACAAGTCATGTGGGATGACATAGTCGCAGCGGAAAATAACATGCAGTTCTAATGGTTTTTTTTACCGCCAATATGTAAATAGGTTTCTTTTGTACAAATAGAACTATCAAAAATGTAAATATGAACTTAAGTTCTCTAAATAAAGTATTGTTTTATATAAAAATTTTATTTTATACAAAAGCAAGAGTTTCTTTATGCCTTTTGAAGAAGTAGTCATTTTTTAAAGCCATTGATTTAGTTCTCATTAGTACACCCATGACTAGAAAGAGTAATTCCATTCCTAAGTCAATTTAATTGAATGAACGAAGTGAATTCTTACACTGGTACGAAATGCATCTCTTTGAAACGCAAAAGCTTTGAGAATGACTATGTATATCAACTTTATGTGTTGCACAAAGATTTTATATCATAATATCCTGTGAATATCAGTTGTTGAACAATATTTATTCTGTTTATAAAATCCTAAAAAACCAATTTAATTTTCACCCATAAGAATAACATTAAGAGCTAATTTCTTATTTTTTTTGTTTAAATTTTATGAGCAACAATTTTGTTGTTTAGTTGAGACAAAGAGAATGACTAAAAGTCTCTTATTTCCTCTATCCATGGAGTATACAATTTACGCTTAACACGTTCACTATCAAGATCAAGTACCATGAAATCCCGAGGTCTCGTATCGTACCTAGCCCATAGTGTGTAAACATGTAAACCTAACTTACATCTATTCAAAAGAGTTCGCGAACCAGCATGATGGACTATGGGAACGGGGGTTTATGGGGTAAAAATTAGATTTTCCCCCTTATTGACCCTAAAACATAAAAGTTTTGCAATTTATTTCCACATTTTGTAGAGCTTAAAAAACTAATAATTTAGTATATTGAAGTGTAATGGTTACGGAGGTGATTTGCCTTCTTGGTCCTGTAAGATTAAGGAGGTAAACTGCAGTATTACAAGCCTCAGCCCAAAGAAACATCGGCAAGACTTTCCTCTGAAGCATAGAAAGAGCAGACTTCACAATCGTTCGATTGTCCCTCTGAACAGAACCATTCTGTTCAGGGCAGTAGGGAGAAGTTGTACGTATATTAATACCATACTCCTGAATGATTTTCGTAGTTTCCTTTGATAGGAATTCAGACCCGTTATCAAACAACATTTCTTTTATGATCTTTCCACCTTGTTTTAATTCTGCGAGAAAGATGTGCATACTTATTTATTTATTTATTTATTTATTTGAAACAATTGAACACCCATTTTTACATCTCATTTTACACCATGCTGCAAAAGCCTGACATGGCTTGTCTGCAGCTCATTAAACTAAAGGAAATCAAGTCCAAACTCTTATCACTTCCATCAGTCAGTGTGTGTGTCCTCCTTATCTCTCTAGCCTGTTATCACAAACATCTTAAAGTCCCAAAACTCTTTACAATAAAACAAAAACCTAATATGATTTAAAAAATTGAAATTCTTGACAAACACAATAATTTAAAAAGCTGAAAAACACTTTTTTGTGTATTTATAGTTTTTTTTTTTTTTTTTTTTTTTTTTTTTTTTTTTTTTTTTTTTTGTAAACAAAACTCTTTAGACCCAGATGAAATAACTCTAAATTTACCAACTAAATAACATTTCATATACCTATGTAAAACAACAATTAACATCTTTAACAAGAATAATAATGTATCTCTTAACAATATATAATACAACAAAATTTATACTGACTAATCTATTTCTAAATAAAATTGTTTTAATTTTAATTTAACCATTCTATATGTTTGTAAATCTCTATGTTCTTTTTGTAAGCTGTTGAAGAGGGAAGGAATCAAAAATTTTCTTGTTCTCTTAGAATATTTATTTGTTGATCGCGGTACGATATAAAATAGTCTTCTTGATCTATATTTATGTTCATTTCTTTGCTTAAAATTGTCTGTGAAATAGTTATCAACAATAAGCAGATATTTAAACAACCGGTCTACTGGCAAAACATTTAACAACTGAAACCCAAGCATAGGATTATCCAACATAGCAGTAGAATCAAGCTTAGCCACTATTTTTATGATTCTGGATTGCACAGTTTGAAGTTGCTTCATGGCTGTATTGGATGCTGATCCCCAAGTCCTCAATCCATACCTGATTAATGATTCACAAAGGCTGGTATAAATCCATTTCAGGGTGCTGGTTGGTAAAAATTCTCTTAAATAATAAAACTTAACTGCACATGTTCTCATCTTATCAGTTATACTTTTTATATGTAAATCCCATTTAAAGTTGTGATCAATTATTATTCCCAGATACTTATAGTTCGTAACAATTTCTAATACTTTACAGTTACAAATATTTGCCACATATGTTTTTCTATGCAAGCAATCATGAGAATGGAACTTTATTTCAGGATTTGTGCATCTGAATGCTGGTGTGTGAATATGCATAATCTTAGATTTATTTCCATTAATACATAAACCATTATCATGACACCACTTGCTTAAATTTAGGAAATTATGTTGAATGTTTTTTATTCCTTCTTCTAATATTTTATCTGAGGCTACTATTACTGTATCATCGGCATACATGAAAATTTTACAATTTGTTATTATATTTGGTAATTCATTGACATATAATAAGTATATTAAAGGACCTAAAATGCTTCCTTGGGGGACGCCATATTTTAATTCTCTTTCCTCTCCATATGTATTGTTTATTCTCACTCTAAAAGTTCTGTTTTTTAGGTAATCAAGAAACCAGCTCTTGATTGATCCTTTAATACCCGCCCTATCCAAAGCCATAGCTACTTTACTGTGCTTCAAAGTATCAAAAGCCTTCGAAAAGTCAATGAAGATCACAAACACATGTTTACTCTCACCAAGTTGGCCATTAACGTAATCAGAAAAATCTAATAGGAGATCATTAGTTCCTTTTTTCTTTTGATATGCATACTGATTTTTATGTAAGATTTCATTGTCCTCCAAGTGGCTTATTAGACTATTGGCAACATGTCTCTCCATTATTTTATCTATTGACGGTAGTATTGATATAGGGCGGTAATTCAAAAATTCATCATGCCTCCCTGCTTTGTAAACTGGCCTTACAACTGCTGTCTTAAGCATGTCAGGAACTTTGGATGTTTTTAAAGATGTGTTGATTAATTTAATTATTGGTTCAGATAGTAATTCATGATTATTTCTTATATCAATCATTCTGATTTCATCATATCCAGGTCCCTTCTTAGTAATTGATCCCAAAATTTGTAGGAGTTTGTCTTTGTTTAGCTTTGGTATATATAATGAAGCATTGCATTCATCTAAATTATTTATGTTCAATGTAATTTGTTGGCAATCATGTACAACTGTGTATACACCTTCAGTGAATTGTTCCCCAAAAGAGTTACAAATTTCTTTTTCTGTTCTTTGCCCTCCCAGATATCTTTCAACCACCTCATCTATGCTTTTCTTCTTATTTCTTCCTAAAATTGAATTAATCTGACCCCAAACTTCTTTAGTATTCTTTTGATTTGCACTAAAAAATCTATAATAGTAAATTCTCTTTGCTCTCACTATTTCTTTATTTACCTTATTTCTAGCCTCTTTATATTTGTCTTTATGTCCTATATTACGGGGATATGCTTTATGTATCCTAAATAGTCTATCTCTATTCTTTATCATCTCAACTATGTTATGTGTCATCCACGGTTTTTTAATTTTTTTCTTATTTTGAGATTTTCTTATATCAGTACAAATATTATATGATTCCTTAAATAATTGATATATTTTATCATAAATTTCATTGACATCTGTAGCACTTTCAACAGACAGCCAGTCCCTCTGCCCCAATACTTGTCCCAGCAAGGCTCCATTGATAATATGTTTGTTGACATTGGTAGGCTGGTGAGCTGGGCAAGAGTTGTCAGGCTGGACATTGACCACACAGCTGTAGTGGTCTGAGATCTTAACTTGTACTATGTCTGCACTGACCTTTGTCCTCCATGTTCTCAGATAAGCATGGTCTAGACATGTCTGTGTCAGTTTTCCTGCTCTTATCTCCTCTCTTGTAAAACAATTTATATAGGACATTAAACCGTTCACTGCCATTACATTTTTATATTCGAGTACATTTCTATTTTTTGTGTCTTTCAGGTCCAGATTTATATCTCCAATTACTAATAGATTACCATTTATTAGTCTAACCATTTCATCTAATTCAGAAATAAAGCTTTTCTCATTTCCTGATGGCTGTCTGTATATTGCTAGAATATTTAGTGAATAATTGAGCCTTGTTACCTTAGTGGCAATGCTTTCAAAATTACTACTGCTTGATGGCAATTCATGCAATGTAATGTCTTTTCTGCTGAAAATTAAGATTCCTCCACCTCTATTATATTTTCTTAAATTAAAAATCTTATCAAAATTATCAATTGTAAACAAATCTATAACATCTAATAAGTTTTCTCTAATATTAATTTCTGTTAAAATAATCACATCTAGTATTTCTAAACAGTTGCAGAAACATGCTAAAAATTCATCCCAGTTTTTCCTAATTGATCTTATATTCATGTGCAAAATTGTTATTCCCTGTTTGTAAAGCTTTTTTTTACATGAATCAATTAAACTGCTAACATCTTTAAAAACTGATGTTTGATACTCTTCGTTGCTCATAAAATCTTTGTCCATGAAAATTGCAAATATTATTTAAAATTTCTAACTTCCAGGGAATAACAAATTTATTACTTTATTTTACTTAATTGAGACATATCATCTATCACTAAAATTTCACTTTTTTCACTTTTTCGCACCCTAACTGCTCCATGTTTGTACCAAAAAAACTTATAACCTAGATCTTTTCCCCTTTTCTTAGCTTCCCGGAGCAAGTTCCTGTAGTAAAGTGTTAGATTTTGACTCACGTATATCCTGCCGCCGTCCAGCCCCGTCACTTGGTTGTTGGTCACCACCTTATCCTTTGCTTCTAGCAACTCCTCTCTCTTCTTCCTCCTTACTAGCTGTACTATGATGGTCGCTGGTCGGTTGTCACGTCGAGTCTTTGGAAGTCGGTGAGCCATCTCGATGTCGTCTTTCGTCATCTGCACACCCATCTTGTTTGCTACATTCACTACTATTTCCTCAACATCTTCCTTCTCTTGCTCAGTAACTTCATTGATCTCAATGTTTCTGTTTCTCCCATATTGTTCTAGTTGA